CTGCAAAAGCTTATTGCCCCTTCTATTTGAGTGAACAGACAGCTGCATCGTGGCTGAGATACAGAGCGCGATCTGTTTTGTGTGCGTTCGTAGTGAAATTGAATACGGTAGTTTTATTTGAAACTGTATATACATCAAGCAGGTAACAACAAAAAAGGTATGTACATCAAATTTTACAATATATTTTTAACATACCTATCTGCAGAATCTGCAATAAAATTACTGGATCGTGGATAAGTATTGGCATAACTCATACGTATATTTTTATTTGCTGTAGTTCAGTTAGGTATTATTTTAATTCCTCTATTAGGGTTTTACTCAAGTCTGTCTGGTAATTACTACATTTGAAAATAAATATTTAGGAATGTGCATGCGCTTCTACTAGCGGCGTGTGCGCACGCTTCCACTAGCAGAGTTTAAATTCCAGACTGGAAAAAACGGGGTACTTTGGCCATGACGACCTTACTCATGACTGGCACAAACTGGGCACTTCGGCACTTAAAGGTTAAGGACTAATTGATTATTTTGAAACCATTCATAGATATGATTCATTATTTTATTTATTTTATATATATAGCTTCATGGATGCCCCAAAGCAATAAATAAAAATATCTTTATTTGCTTTGGTGGTGGGAGGTTATAAGTTAGGTATAGGCTACAAAAACAACACACTTTCTTTTATTAATTCTAGAGTGTGAATAGTGGGCAGGACTAGGCACAATTTTTAATCCTTCTGCCAAATTTATGTTAATGCTATTTCGCAGGCAAACCGTGTCATTATTTGGATAAAGAATGTGCTATTGTATCGGTGATTCATAGCGAAGTAGTTAAAACTTCATGCCACTATATATATATATATAACATCAGGTGATTAGATGCACTTACATGGCATTTGTAGCAAACAGAGGTTGCTCCATCCTGTAGCCCTCAACAAGTTTCAAGTACAGCCTTTGGTCTACCTCCATTCCTGTTTGTGATAAAAATCAACATTTATTCTGATGATGTACATTCCTAGAAAGAAAGCCACGACATCTTCTGTGTATAACATATGAGAGACAGTGATAGAACTGATGTCCACACATAGGCTGTGGAAGAAGCAAAGGAGTAACCATAGCTGGAGTATGCTGGAACATGTCTGAATTTGCAGCAGCAGAGTTGAATGAAATTGAAGACAGAAGTGCTGGTATTCACTTAAGTTGGAGACATACCAAAGTCAGGAGAAGCATCACAGTCAGAGAAGGAATGGCTATACTCCGTGCACTATCAAAGAGAAGGGATGAAAGAAGTGGTTTACAGCCTCTTGTATTTAGGTGTTATCCTTGCATTTGCCCAATAGACTTAAAGAAAACTTTACAGGTCCCAGTCAGAATATGTAAGATCTAAAACGTTTGCAGTAACTAAAGTTGATAATTTCTCAGGCTGTCAGCCATATCACTTGGTCAAAAATTAATGTTTCAGGGACCATCTCTGTCCCCATTATCAGGATATGATGTGACATGAGATATGAACTGACCCATCCATGTACCAACCAATGACTTGTGACATTAATAGCTAGTAACTGCCAAGGTTCAAACAAGATACATCCTGAAAACAGAGCTGTTGAGCTAATGTGCTCAGCTTCAACGAACACACATATATGAAAGATTTTTTTTTTCAAGAATAATGTGACTCCTGCAGACAACATGAACTTCAATATATAAAACAGTTATTAACAATTCTGAGTGTTCATAATTTCAAATTCCTAAAGTTTTCTTAGTATTGATGAATACTTATTGAATAGTTCTCAGTGAAATTATTTGATCAAAATTACCACATTTGTAAATTTGCTCTCTTATCATTTAAAAATTTTGAATTCAGCACATTACCTGGGTACGGAGTCTGGGCTAGAGTGAACAGCTCCCATAAAACAACACCAAAAGACCAAACATCAGACTGCGTGGAAAATATGCCGTCTCTGATTGATTCCGGTGCCATCCACTTGATAGGCAGAGGACCCTTAAGAAAATGAACATTCTTCATAAATCAAATTTAATCTTTCCTGCTGCAAGTCAGTGAATTTTACCCTTACATAGGCCCAGCAATTTGATAATATCCAAGAGGATTTCACCTCCAATTGGAACAGAACTTGGAACAGTATTATATAGATCAATAACTCTTCCTGACCCTGAGTGTATTCACAGCAGGACATTGTTTATTTCCAATCACATCATAATATTTAACTGCTAATAGTTCAGTGTTGCAAAAATCGATGTCTCTATGTTAGAAAATTGCCAGCATTCATTTCTGCTACAATAATATACCACAATATGCGAAAGAAGGAGTACAAGAAAGGGCAATGGATAAAGGAAAATGGCAAGAAAGAAAATAAATTTTAATTTATTTTTATAAAATCACCATATTTTCATTCTTTATGGATTCTCATAGATTCTAAAGGGCTCTGTCGATGGTGAATAACACTCAGAACTGAGTTTTTCAACTTTGTCCATCATCCAGTATTCTAAAAGAAATAAACTAAAATTTTAGAATACCAGATGATGGACAAAATCCAAAAACCCACTAATTCTGAGTTTATGGAACCTGTCAATTGATTATAAAGTAATAACATGAGGGCACACTTTCTAGGGATAAGTTTGATAGTTATATAATAAAAATTCAATTAATCAGTCAACAGATTATTATCTATGTTGAGAAATNGAAAAAAAGGAAGTGATTGCGTGTGATTGAACAACTGTGTTCGTACACCTGAAGATGACCTCTTGAGGTCGAAACATGTAGTGTGGCAGTGAATAAAAAACGTGTTGTGTGGTCGGTAAATTAACTCTAATATTCAGATTATTATCTATGTTGAGAAACGAGCCTTCAACTTCCTACACTCTCAGTAACTAGTTCATCCATGGAATGATATGCAACGTTTTTAGTCTCATGCAGACATTATATTAAAACACACTTGCTTGCCAGCTTATAATTTGCTGAATACAACATTCCTTGTTAGCAGGAATTCAAGGGCTATATTTGTCGTCTGTTTGGCAGTNCTGTTCAGGTTTATTTCACGAACTTTTTAGACGGGTGATAGCATGGCTAGCTACAGTGAACTAAATTTTAAATTTTAAATTTTAAAANCAAGTTAGAATACATAGTATCTATACAATAATACAGTAATATTGCAATTAAATGAGGTAAACTTATAATACTTATAATACACATTAAAGAAAGAAGTTTCCTACTGTACTTCAAATGTTTCAACCTTTGTGATGAGGCTATCCAGAATTGTAGATCAATAATTATAGCAAGTAGTTACTATAGGATTCTGATGATGGTGTATAACACACAGAGATATTGGGTTTTCAGACTTTATCGATTTTCCTGGTTATAAGACAACTAAGAAAAACATGACGTTTCAGAAACTGGATCTGTTTCCATCCACTGGATCCAGTGGATGGAAACAGATCCAGTTTCCGAAACGTCATGTTTTTCTTAGTTATCTTATAACCAGGACGATGGATAAAGTCTGAAAACCCAATATCTCTGTGAATAATTATAGCATTTACAACCCATTTTTGTCCATTACTTTCATTCATACAGACTCATATAGCAAATCATAGAGCAAAATTTTGACACAATCACCAAGCTTATAATAGTTGAAAATAAAAAATATTTCATAGGTAATCTATATGCATATTTGAAAAAGAAGTTACAAAATCACTGTGTAATGTGAAAGGGTTACTAGATTTATATATATATATAACTTACAGCGCTCTTCTTCCGATAGTTGTTAGATTGATACATACTCTTAGCCAGCCCAAAATCACATATTTTCACAACGTTGTCATCAGCTAGTAGAATATTCCTTGCAGCCAGATCTCCATGCAGTACCTGTGTGATCAGATGGAATAGTTTGATCAAATACATTACTAAATCTTTTAGAAACCATTATGGCCACAGCAGATGACATGGCAATAATATGTGATACTAAGATTTATAACTAAGAGGAAGACAGTAATATTGCAGCCATCTAAACTGCTTGGTCACATCATACAGCTCAACTACTTAGTGCGCCATACAATGTTCATTTATTCATTCATTCATTCATTCATTGTTAAATTTCTACAGAAAGACTTTGTTACATATAAATGTGGCAAGTTCATGGGACTGTCTTTTGAAATGTGATGCTATATAGTCTGGTAGAAGTACACCAATGTTTAACAGGGAAGTACTACCTCCACCTTCAAGTTCAAAAGAGTAGGCCAAGGGAGCTGGAAGGCTAGCAGCAAATAGACTGTTGCTAGTCTGTCTTACTTTTCAGTTCTGAATACAATGGTAAGGCAAGAATAAATTCACATTAAAAAATAAGAATAAAAGAAACAAAAGAGAAATATGTAGGTAAAATGATTTAAAATGGTTTTTTCTTCAAAACATTTTTAAACTTCTACTAGACTACATGGTGCCACATCCCAATAGATAATATTCTACATAGTCACCACCATTAGAACCTCAAATCTCGCATTTAACTGCATTTGTTTACAAAATTATGTTCTTGCTTCCCTGACACAAAGATTTAAATTTATAGAACTTGTGTATATATATATATATATAGTAAATTCCTCATTATCTGACCTCTACTGGGAATGGGGTGTGCCAATTACATGAACTTGCCAGTTGCATGACAAAAAAATCTTACAAGAAACAAATACAAAATCAAAACAACGTGTTTTTGCTTTGTTCTTGCATGGGATGTTTCCCAGGTGATATAGCTAATGTATGGCTGAAAGATTTCAGACAGATATATTGTAGGGCAGTTGCAAAGTCAATTAGCTCCTTAAAGTAATGGCACCTGTGCTATGAAGGATGGCAGGTAGCAGTGCTAGTGGCACCTGGGAGAACTACTGTATAGCATATGAACATGCACACAACACAAATTTGTTTTTGAATAAAAGCTAAAAAATAGTAAAGCTATCCCTGTAACAAAGACCTCCAAATCTATCACTTCCACCTCACAAGATCACATGACCATTATAAGGTAACTAGAAACTACACGAGCATATAGCATTACAGCTTTACAAACAGCTCCACTTCTATGCCTAAATACATAAGAAAGAAGTGAATATCAAAGGCCTAAGCATTTTTATCAAATTATGCCTTTGTACAATTATGTTATTGTAATGTCACGGGTGTGTGGTTCAACTGACTTGTTGTCTCATTTTCTGTACTAACACTAGTATAGCTGAGTTAAAATCAGATTGCTAGCTCCAGAGTACCAGGTGATTTAAAATACCATGTTCCTGGATGAATAGAATATTTCAAGAAGAATACTTAATTTTCTGTCATAATCATATTAGGTGCAGTAATAATTCTTCTAACCTTACGGGAGGCAAGATACTCCATTCCCCTGGCCACTTGAAATGCCCAACAGAATAGGTCCTGTGAACAGACTGCAATGGTTGTGCCTTTGTAGTCACCGTGATACTTAATACGCCAGTCAGGCTGCTCTGAGCTGCTGTTGCTCAACAAACACTCATCTGGCTCCCCTGTAAACATGAATAGCAACATGACAAGCAATTATAACATCAGTCAGTTCTTAGCGTAAACTTGAATATATTATTGTTCCCAGTATGATCGACAATCACAACACCAATCAGATTACCCATAAGTTGTTGCTCTATGAAATGAGAATGTGTGTATATCATTTGTGAATGCAGAAATGAAATTTTGAGTAAAGGTAAAGTTGTCTCTGTCTTTAACAAATTAAGCACTATGACATTATGGAAAATGGGGGAGTGGATATGTAGCTCTACGTATGCTTGACCTCAGAATTAGC